GAGATAATTATATATCTGATTATGATTTTACTTATCTTTACTTCAAGTATAAAATATAATTAATTTAGCAAATAATATATATCTATCATAATTTTAATCTAGGTATTAATCATAAAATATTAATCTGAATTTCTTAATTATATTATATTAGAATTTAATTAATTTACTAGTTAAAAATATAATAATAAAGAGCTTCAGATATATAGAATAGAAATTATAATTAATATAGAAGATAATTGAATAAAAATAATTCTTGTATCAAAAATTTTGCTAGAAAAAAAGAAAAATTTATAGTAGTACCTATATATAAATTTGATAATTAGTTGAATTCTTCTAATTCTCACTTATAGTAAAATAAAAGCAAGAAAAATAAGATCAAGTATTTTATCATAGAATTAAAATTAAATATTAACTCTAATACTTTTAAATTAAATATTTCTTCATCTATTCAGAATTAAAAGATATATATATATATAAAATATATAATATTATAGAGTAAAAAAAAAAAATTAATTATCCAAATATTAATTATTTTTTTATTAAAGATATATAATAATATATTACTTAAAAATAATATAACTGAATATATTTAATTTATCAGAATTACTAGAATAGATCTTATATTTTTTAAAAATTAATTAATTCTTTTATCCTATTTTATTTATTAATTATCTTTGATATTATTATAATACTTCTATTCTATAATATTACATTGAGTTTTTTACAAAAAAAAATTATTAGAGATCTATATAGTTAAAAGATATCTCAAGTTCTTACTTGGTAATTGATAAACTTTAAAAAAATTATATATGAAAATATAAAATTAATCTATTATATCAAGATAATATATTTTAAATTAGAAGATTTAAAAATCTCAGATATATTGATTAATATAATTTTATATTTATATTCAGATATATATGCTCTTATTCTTGATTAAAATATTGATTTTACTAATATATCAGTTATAGAAATTATAAGATTTTTTCTAAAACTACAGTATCTGAGTTTTGATTTATATAAATATCTTACTAATTGATATATTACTAAAATAATGCATTCATATTAAAAACTTAGATATTTTGAGCTTAATAACTATTCAATTAATAATAAAGCTATTAAGAAAATAATTCATAACTATATTAATTTAAAATATTTTGATTTGAAAAGATATAAAAAGATTAATAAAAAAGTGATGAAAAAACTTAATTCAAAAATTAATGTTGAATATTCAGATTATTTTGATAATAAATTCTTTAATTCTGATTTATTCTTACTTATTTTAAACTTTATTAATAAATAAAATAAGATAGCTATAATCAGATTTTTTAAAGAATACTCTTTAAGTTATATATTAGATAAAACAGATTTTATTTTTGCAATTAGTAATTATTTTAGAGAGAATCCTTCAATATAAATTATAAATAATTATATTTATTAATAAAGAATAGATAATTAATTATTAGTTATTTTTTAGTTAAAGATATATAATATATAATATAAAATATTATCATAAAAGTAAAGATAGTTAAAGCTAAGATAAGAATATAAAAAGTTAATTATTATTTCAAATTAAGATTTCTAGATCTATCAATATATAATGATAAGCTTTTTAAGAAAATTAATAATAAAATTAACAGAAAGTTAACTTACAAAAATAAAGATAGTAAATTCTTTAAAAGATAATTATATACCTGATTGGATAAATTATAATTCTATTTATATTTATTTCTAATATAAAAAATAATATTTGTCTTAGTAATAAAAAATTATCATAATTTTAATCAAAGTATTTATAGAAAAATATATTTCTAAATTATTTAATTATATATTATTTGATAATATTTAGTTTTATAATTGTAAATATGATGATGATAAGTTTTAGACTTATATATCAAAAATAGTAATCAATGTAGAAGATATTTGAATAAGAATAATATTATATATCAAAGATTTTAATATTAAAAAAATGAAAAAAATTATAGTATCTGTTAATAAAAGAGATATTCATAATTTTTATTATATAGCAATAGGCTTACTCTATAAAATACTTTCTAAAAAGTCAAAAGATTTAGATATTTTTGATTTGAATACTTTTTCTAATTCAAATAATTTAGATAGTGATTCAAGTAATTCTTCAATATTTAGTTTGAGAATAGAAATTATATATATAGTAAAAAAATATTCTATTTAAAAGTATAAAGTAAAAAAAGTAAATATAGTAAAAATATAATTTCTGAAAATAGGTCATATTATATTATAATATGTCCTGAGAAAGTATTTTATATGATCATAAAAAATAATTTATACTAATTTAATAGTAAAACTAGTACTAAAACATATCCTATACCTTTACAATTACTATTTGAATTAAATTTTTCAGTATCTGAGATAATAGATTTTTATATTAATATAATTTCTATTATTCTATTTATCCTTTATAATAAATCTTATATTTTCTTTTTTATGATCTTTATTATATATAAAACAGGAAATTGAATTATTAAAAATAAAATAATTGTGATTTTTATTATTATATTTCAAAGATAAGTAAGAGAACTGCTCTAATACTTTATTAATAATAAACTTTTACTTCTCTTCTGGATTCTTAAATAAAATAAAAATAGAAGATTAAAATTTGTAAAATATATTTATATGGGATAAGAATGATATACTTATTTCAGTATTTAATAATTTTTCTAAATCAGTAAAAATAGATTTAGTAAATATATTTATCTCAACTTCTGATAATTTCAAATCTTTATTATTTTCTTGAGATGAATCTATTGCAGAATAATGATTTTTTGAATCTAAAAGAATTGATTCAGTAAATATACTTACCTTTATTTTTGATAAAATATTCTTAGATAAATTTTTTTTGAAATATATCTTGAAAATTTCAGTTATATGATCCATTATCAGAAATATTTTTTCCAAAAATATTTTATAATCTATAATTTCTTGAATTTGATTATTAATAAGTTTTAAAATGAAATTGATACTATATGATTTGATATATTTGATTTTATCATGATTTATTTTTTCAAATAATATATAAATTTTCTCAGCTCTCTGAGTTTTTTTATGCAAAGCATTCTATGATATTTCTAAAAGATATAAATTCAATTCTTGAGATCTTTTTTTATGAATAATAGAAAGTTATTTTGTAATGAAATCATAAAATAAGCTTCTCATCTTTTTTTTATCAATTTTGTCTTTACTACTTTTTATAATCTCATTAAATTAAATTCTGAAATTATTTTCATAGATAGACCAATATAAGATTTCTTCTTGGTTAGCTCTATTTGCATCATCCTCAGCATCAAAAGCTTTATCACATAGCTGAGCTAGGTATTGTGATGCTTTATCAATATTAGATTTTCTGGAACTGCTGATCTTAGAAATTTCAGTCACATGATTTTGAATTATATTCGATTCTTGTAGAGATGGCTCTGGAGTAAATAATTCTTGAATCAACACCTGCCCACCTTTTACACTCAAAGAAGATTTAGTATCCTGGGAAGTTATGATTTTCTCTTGATCTCGAAGCTTCTTTTCTTAATGTTTTGAATTATCTCTTTACTAATCTTTTCTTTATATGTTAAATCTAGAAAATTGTTCATTTCCTTATCTTCCGGTAATTTAGGCTCTGTACAGATAGGTTGATATATATCGAAATTTGAAATATTAGAATTTGAAGTGTTAGCTGATATATTGGATGCAGGAGCATCATCACCAAAGACAGTCATAGAATGACTAGAATTTGAAGCATCATCGGTTATATCAGATATAGGAGTATCATTAGAAATCTCCATTTCGAAAGAGTTGATATTAATTGAAGATTGTGAAAATTAATAATACTTTTTTCTCCTTGCTCTAGCTTCGTGATTCTGACTTCATGGCTTTCTAAGAATTGTCTTAATTTAGCATTTTCATTTCTAAGTTTAGTATTCTCAGCCAAAAGCCTCATGTTCTTTTGTTTCAATAGATCTAGTTTGGATTTAGTATTTCCCATTGTTTTGTATAAGATACGAATATATTCAATTAAAAAAAAATTACGAGACTGACGGCCCCGGAAAAATGCCAAGAAAAATTTAATCAACCATGATCGATACATGATATATCCACAATAAGTGAATCAAGGTCCTGCTAATATATTTATTACAAAACAATGGCTATATGGCCTATACATGAAAATCCTTTTATTTAACCAATTATTATGACTCTTCGAGTCGCCCTAAGGGCCTGATATATTTACATGATATATACAAGGTATAGTAATACGGGAAATAAATCATAACTAAAAACCCGCGTTATTTCCTATACTGCGCTGGTAAGCCTCTTCTTGCGGGTTCCAAATCTATGAATTGAGATAAATAAACAATAAATATTAATTTACAAACCTTGTCCACCTATAATAGACACTTACCAAGATGAGTCCGCCTATGATTTCTTAATTTTATTGTAGATTTTTGAGAATCCAACTTAGGGTGAGAGTATTTTTGCGGTTTTTTGTTGTGTCTTTTAACATTATCCACGATCGGGTGAGTATCATCTAGAGTCTCCGATACATCTAAATCTCCATCATCAAAAAGAGAACTAAATTTCCGTTTTTGTTTTATAACAGTGTCATAAATATAGAAGACAACGCTATGCCTCGACCCGGTTATTATTGGAAGGTTTCCGTGAGTTAAGAAGCACGACCGAAAAGCGATAGATTTGATTTTTTTCGTCATCTTAACCCTTCTGCAAATTTAAAATCAATAAAGCGAAACAATACAATTAATAAAATTTCGCAGTCGTCTTTTGAAATAAAACTATCGAATTCACCATAGAACTTATTTTCACTTAGCTTTATTTGAATAAAAGGCATCTTCGCTCATTATTAAATGGCCGTGCGTTTCCCACGATTAATTTTCTAATCGGGTTTTCTGTATTCATTCAACATTTCGGAGAATATCCATTTTATGGCATTGACGGCTTCTTTGTTTTTCTTCCTCATGACGATATTCCCTGGTCACGCTCCTCTGTGTATGGGGATCGTTGGTACATGTTTCTTTGTGTACCACGCCGTGCAAAAGCTCGCCAATATTACCGCAGAAATCGGCAAGATCAGAGTCGAAATTAATGATAAACTTATCTCGGAAATCACAAAAATTAATTCTCGTGATGTTTTAATTTCGTGGAACGCGAATGTGTGTGTGAATAGACTTCTGCTTTGTTAGCTACAGCAGACGAATGACGATACACCTCCCGGAGTCGCAAGTCCATAAGCCTTGGAGCGGGTCTGTACCGGGTCTGTTGGCGTAGGGAAAGTGTGAAAGACATCGTAACCACAACCACTTCAAGAGAGGAGGTTATCAAGCAAGCAAAAGCCCTCAAGATACAAAAGTTACGGTGTCCCTCGATAAAAGGGCTATGTAGCGAGGTTGCCGAATAGTCGTTTGACCCATATTAATATATTTGTTTTCAAACATCTCCTTGTGATACAGTCCACTAATCACGTGTGTGGATATAATAGATTTGATACGCGTAGTACGTGTCCGTACTGACTACTGAAATTTCATTTAATTGCAACGTGTTATGAAAGAAAAGGATTTCATTGCACCAAAAGATCGTTTCCATGATGACTATGTCACTTCAAGACCAATGAGCGAGTGGCATAACATAGATTCTTATGTCACCAAGTTACTGGAGAATAATCCAGGGTTATCAGAAAATGGTTGTTTCGCAGTCTGTTGCCGGAGCTTGAGTTCGTTATCAAAACAGGATTCGGATTGGCCAAACAGTGTCTCTAAATACGCCTCCATGTTACTTTCAAAATGGAAGGGACCCGAAAAACAACACTGGCTTGAGCTCGCAAAAAAAACCATTCAGCGTAAACGCGACGATGAGAAGATTTCATCTAACAACGCTGAAATTCAACAGAAAAAAATTATCCAACATCAACGAACCACGATTTCTGCTATTAACTTAGTCACCGAAGAAATCGATGATCTAGCACCGCGTAAACGTCAACGTGAACAAGAGCCACGAACACCAGAAAATAAAGTAGTTATATTTTTCCATTGTATACCCCACAACAAAAATGTCTTCTCACCACGAATGTATTATTTCCATTAGGAAGGAGAGCCTTTGAATGGGATGGCACTCAGGAAAACAAAGAAGATTTGTTACACTGAATTCTCAAATCCAAGTTCATCAGATTTAGAGGATGTAGAAAGCACACCATGTCCAACAACTCGTTCAGTCACACGTGCTTTAATGGTGACGCCTAATAAGCCCATTATTACGAAAGCAACATATGATGAATATTCTGCACATATAATTTGTGCTTTTAATACAACGATACATCTTGTCAAGAAAACAATTGGAGAACAAGACTATGAAAAAGTTAAAACTATACTTCAAATGGGGAACAAATTGGTCATGAAAGATTCAATAGTAGAAAAGCTCAAAAAAATATTTCAATCAGAATATTCTGAAGTCGAATCGAAAATAATTTCAGAGACAAAGATTGACGATAATCAAACAACGGATGAGGATAGGTTTATGTTCTTCATACGATATGCATTACTAGACTTTGTCTCAAAGTTTAAGTTTTTGATGCCAAAAGTCATGGACCGCGACATGCTTGAACGATCTTATATCATTGAAGTCCTGTCACCAATTCTCCTCGCATTTCGCAAAGCGTTTCCTGATGTAAAGTATATGTGGGTAGAGAAGGATGTGAGATCAATCAAAGAAGCAAACGTTATGTTTATGGGTAATATCGGAGAACGAAAGACAGATTTACTCATTCTCAGGTTATCAGACGCAAGAGAACTGTTGAACGTTGAAGTATCTGGACCTCCTTATAGATCCACAAAAAAGCATACGGTTGGCGATGTAAAAAAACTATTAGTGATGGCTATCTGCAGTCTATGTCGACTCCTTGGCAACAATCTTGATTGCAACATTGAAGATGCCAAAAATGTTAAAACTTATAGCATCCAGGTTATAGGAGATCGACTTACATTGTTTGCTGTTTCTCTAGCAGACAAAAAAAAGTATTTGGCTGTTGAATTGGCCTCTTGTATAATTCCATTTTCGTTTGATGCCATCACATGCTATATGAAGATTTTTAATTTTTTTACAGTTATTCGAAATGAATTTGTGGAACAAGAAGTATTACAAAGGAAAATCCGTTGCTTTATTCCAACTGACGATTGTTCTGAAAATTTAAGAGAGTGGTTACATCTACCGGATGATGACATTTCACTTGTGACAGAAGAAGATATGGACGAAATCTTTCTGTGATGGTGTCATTTACAATGAAGAATTTATAATTTCTGATGTAAAACAAATTTAGACATGTTGTAACGCGTAACTATTAATAAATATTTTTAGTCTGCACACAATTTTGTTTTGTAGTGTATATCGGAAAAATAAAAATAAATCCAGGGTGATGTAGGCTATGTGTTGGTCAAGCTTTGGCCCTGCCCACTCATGTAGTAATTGGTTCTAAGAGCTTCTGATTCTTCGTATGCTGATCGTGCGCATGCCTTATTTTAGACCACAGACGTCGAGAATGATATCGGAATTTTTTTCTAAAATAAGGAACCTTATTGAAACATGCCATAGATCTTGAGGTATTGATTCTGAGACATTAGGTTCACGAAATATCTCCACCTCCAATAACTTCATATATTTTTCTGGTATCGAAGAGATGTCATCAATGGGAACTTCATTTGCAATTCGCCTTTCACGTCTTTTTTCTAAGAATTTTTCGACGAATGTAGACTTCGGACTGACTATTGTGGAAGGCTGGGATATATTGGTTGATTTAAGATCCTCAGCGTCGAAATCCTCAGAAACCCATTGTGTTCGGATATAATTAACGGAATCTTTTTTCGTAGATTTTCGTATCTCTTTGTTTTGTGCTAAAAAAATAAAGTGATTTAATATCGTAATTCCTGTCCACGGCTCGAAGCAACAGTTGGTACAGGTGGTTCAAATATGCCATGGATATGATTTTCGGTAGGTGACCCCGGAAAGTATTTACAGATCTTTTTCGTAGCTAGTGCGTCCTCCGACGTGACGGATTCTTCTTTTCTTTTGTAGGCGGAAGACATAATTACTAAGTTTACGGTGTATTACTAATAGGCGGGAGAATCAAAGCAACACTACTCGACGAGCCGTTAAGGTTGTTATACCCTAGAGCCGATGGTCCTACTCCGAACTTTTGTTGAAAGAAGCGTGGAAATAGGGGTGGGTGTCGATAATACCGTAAAACGCCGTGCAAAATACCCCGGGGTATATTGTAAGGAGATAGGATATTTTATGTTGGGGGTTTTGTGTAAAGGGGGTATATTAGACGGGGGATATATTAGGCAGAGGGTATATTAAACAGAAATAAAACACGGTTTTTAATCTAACATGATTTTGATCTTGACGCGTTTTTATCTGACACGATTTTTGATTTTAATACTTCAAAAATGACACGTATCAAAGCTTACTTTACCACTTGTACGATTGCCTCAAAAAAAGAAAAGACAATAGACTGCAAGAGAAAAATTAACTATTCTTATGTATCTTGACAAAGTTCCAAGTGCTAGTATTCGGGGAACAGCAGACAAATTTACTATCCAACCATATCAGATTCGAGCATGGCAGAAAAAAAGATCAACTTATGTTAGCTCAATCTCATATCAAGCATTTAAATGCTGGTGCACAACCAAGTTATCCAATTTTGAAAGAAGTATATAAGTGGATTAAAGATTTATGAAGCAAATTAAAAGTTATAACTTGCAGCATGATTCAAGTCAAATCAAGAACTTTGGCAAAGACTTTCCAATATATTGAAATTTATCCTAATATTAAAGAATTCAAGTAGAGTAATAAATAGATTGATAACTTTATGAAATGATATAATCTTAGTAATCACTATTGAACAATAATAGCACAATGCTTGCCAGAAGATCTTGAAGCAAAACAACATGAATTTTTAAATTTTGTGCTGTATCATCACATTCAATATGATTATTCTCTTATCTTAATTGGTAATATAGATAAAAATCTTTGATATTTGATTTACCAAGTACTATAACAATTGAAGAAATTAGATTATGTATAGTTAGTATTCAAACTTGTAATCATAAAAAATTTAGCTTTATCATAATTTTGATATGTATGGCTGATGATATAAAATTATTATCAATGATAATCTTCAAACTTAACAATATTTCTTGTCTTAATTTTCTATTTGATATAATTATTTGAACAAACAAATAAGATTGGATGAATAAGGAGATATTATATTAGATTAAATATGTTTAGATTAATTGTATATCAATATCAGTTAATTTTTATTTATAAATTTATTTTGTAAATATTTAGTTGAGTTTGTAAAATATTATTTTATGAAGAAAAATATAAATCTTGTAATAATACCTGATAAATTAATATTAAAGTTATAATTATTTAATATTTATATTAATAAATCTTTTAAATTAAAGATATGTAATAGAGTTAATAAATTATATTAAATTAATAAGCTAATATTAATATATTTATTACATATTAAGCTTTGAACTATTTATAATAACTGGATGACTCTAGAAATTAAAAATTTAATATTAACTAGATATTTCTAAAAATCTTCTTATAATTTTATAGCTAAATGAATCAAGTATATATAGAGTAAAATTAATTCTTAAATAATTCATTACTCTTTCAAGTATTATAGAATTTCAAATATATCTGATAGATTAGAGAAAGAATTAGTTTTTGATTATGATAAAATTGATTTATGATTTCACAAAATGCAAAATCATATTTTTAAAAATGAATTAAATAATAATAATAAAGAAAAAAAAGATGATAAAATAAAATTGTAATGTGAGACTAATGATAATATATATTAAATTTATAAGAGTTATAAGTTTAATAAAAATAAATTTAATATTATTAAAGTATAGATAATAGAAAGAAAAATATATCTAAGTATTTTTATTAAAGATATAAGTGAGATATATTATTATTATTTTTTTCATGAATCAGAAATACTAATTTAATAATCAGCTCTCTCTATTATTATAAAATTTATAGAGATCTTGCTAATATTATAAAATATTCTTATTATTAATATGATCCTATTCTATAATATATTTTTATCTAAATCAATTAGATTTATAAAAGATAATTTAATAGTATTATTCTTTCTATATAATAATTAGATTTGAATTCTTTGAATTTTTTCATTATCTATATTATATTTATTTTGTGTATTTTTTGATATATTAATAAAACTAGTTCTGATAATTATATAAATATATTTACAGTAATAAGCAAAAAATTTTGGATTATTTCACAAGATTTTTCTTAATGATTAATAATTATTTTTTACTAAACTTTTTTTTATTTGATAGAATAATAATATAAGATTTATATAATAAAAAAATTAA